CCCCCGTAGAGGCCCCCGGCCCTGGGTGGGCTGAGGGGACACGCTCAGCCCCGCCAGCTCGGACACCCCCAGCTCACCAACAGTGTTCTGCAGCGAGGAGCACCACACGGAAGGGCAAGAGCAAAGCTTTCAGGAGATTTAATCTAATCTGGGAGGATGGAAACCTCCGCCGAGACCCAGGCTCCAGGTCCAACCCCACTACTCCATGCCCTAAGCAGCAGCTCCGGCAAAATCAGGGCTACACGGAGCTCGCAAGAGTGAAAGAAGCACTTAAAAAATACACAGCATTGCTGCTTGCCCACTAACAGACCTGACTGGGAGCAGGTTTCAGCGCCGGCACCTCCTTCCCCAGGAAACTTCCCACCATCCAAGGCACCGCCGGGACCTGGGTCTCAGCCCAGCAGCGCGCAGCCCACAGCCAAGCAGGAAAATCGTGTTTTCCTGCCAGAGTATCGCTGGTGTGGGAGGCAGCTCCTGCCTCCGCCCCGGCCCCGCACAGCCCCGCTGCCCTGCGCCCGCAGCCCCCGCTGCCCTCGCTCGCCGGAGTCCGGCGTGGCGCAGGGCAGTGGGGCGTGGAGTTTTGGTGACTTTAAGTACCAAATATTTTCTACCTCGGGGTGGAAAACAGGCATCAGGGTGTCTCTGGAGCCGGGCTCCGTGCCGGCTCCTGCAAACGCTGCCCGCCCTGGTGCAGGCGCCGTGCTCCTTACGGGCAGGGGGATGAAACCGAGCACAGGGATGCAGAATAGAATCACAGAATGGTAAGGGTTGGCAGGGACCTCTGTGGGTCATCCAGTCCAACCCTCCTGCCCAAGCAGGGTCACCTACAGCAGGCTGCAGAGGACCTTGTCCAGGCGGGGCTTGAGTATCTCCAGAGAAGGAGAATCCACAGCCTCCCTGGGCAGCGAGAATCCACAACCTCCCTGCACCAGGCAGCGGGATCCCTCCCGCTCCCCACCCTGGCTCGGGGAGAGGATGAGATGCCCAACGATGCACAACAACTCCCAGCCAATTTCTCCTCTTGACCCCCAAATCCAAGCACCAACCCAACCCAACCACCGCGGGGTCCCCACCACCCTCTCCGCTGCAAGAGTTCGATGCCCTTCCACCCCGGAGCCCCCCGGGTCGCCCCCGCAGCGTCGCTCACCGTTGTTGCAGTGCCGTACGCAGTCCTGGAAAACCGCCCGCCACTTCTCCTGCTCCTTGCCCGTCATCACGCAGAAGTAATAGTGCCGGGCGTAGGGGTGCCAGAGGATGAGGGGGAAATCCGTGGGGCACTTCAGGATGGGGGTGTGCCCCGATTTGGGCGTCACACCTGCGGAGGGGGGAAGGATGCTTTGAGGAGGGAATGGGGCAGGAGAGGGATGGGGATGCTGCAGGGTCCGGGGTGTCCATCTCCCCCCAGCATTCGGGGCTGGGGGTGCAGCAGGGGCACACCAGACCCCTTGGCTTCTTCCCAGTGCCTTTGCTGGGAGTTCTACCAAAAAAATGGGGCAAAAAAAGTGCAAAAAGAGCCTCGGACTTCCAAAAAGGAAATGAGAAGTGAAAACTGAAAATAAAAAATTTATTTCCAGCCTGAAACCCTCCCCACAGCTGCCAGCCTGACCCCGCTGCCCTCCTGCCCCTCCGTTGAACCGGCAAAGGGCTTGCTGCCCTACGTGAGCTGCTCCCCGGGGACTGCCCCGGCCTTTAGGGACCCAGGGCAGGAGGACGGTGAGTGGGGTGGTGGCCAGAGCTCCTGGAGGGCTGGATGGAGGAGCAGGAGCTGCTGCCTTCGCCCAGCACCCTTGGGGAAGGGAGGCAGGAGCAGCTCTCAGGGAGCCGCAGACACATTTTCCCTCCTTTCAGCAGCTGCGGCAGGACCCGAACAGCAGACAGCCCACACTGCACCCTACATCCCATGGGGGAACAGGGCCATTCTCCTTCCCCTCAGCCCCACACCCTGAAACCACCCCTTTCAGAAGGTCTCCAGGGATGCCCACAACCCAAAACCACCTCTTCCAGAAGGTCCCCAGGGATGCTACACCCCAAAACCACCCCTTCCAGAAGGTCTCCAAGGATGTCCACATCCTGAAATCACCCCTTCCCAAAGGTCCCCAAAGGTGGCCCAGCAGCCTTGGGGTGCAGGACACCCCCAAACCCCCCTGCTCGCCCCGCAGCCTCCAGGACCACTCACCAGGCAGGCTGCTGTTCACCAGCTCCAGGTACTGGTCCACGGAGGTGAGGATCTTGTAGCCAGCGCTGTTGACCAGCACGCGGGGTGACAGGTCCCGCTCATAGGCCTGAGCAGAAAAAGACGGTCATGGATGACAGGGAGCATGGCCCCACCACCGCAGTGACAGGGTGTTCCCCTCCGGAGCTGCGCGCACCAGAGATGGGCAGAAAGGTGAAGCCCCTCACCAGTTTGTTCTCGTAGAGGACCAAGCCGTAGTTGTGAGGGACCACGCAGAAGCGGTTCCTCCACTTTTTGTTCTCCTCGATGTACTGGAAGAGGTTGCCCGAGTAGATGACGTGGTCCTCCAGCGGGACCTGAGGGGAGAAGACACATGGTGGGTGGCATGGGGGGGAAGAGAGGGGGGCAGCTGGGTACCCTTCCATCCCACAGCCACGGCATGGCTCGGGGAGCTCAGCAAGGTCCGTTCGTGGTGGTTTGGGTGGGGTTTTCTGCTCTAGGGCTATGCTGAGGGTCTCTAAGTTCACCACTGGATTATCTCCTATAGCATTGCAAACTTTGGTGCCTGAATAGGTGTGTCTGGGTGACAACTTTGAGAGGTACCACACGCACAGCCTTAGAAAACGTCGGAGGGGCTGCTCACACAGCAGTGAAGTCGCACGCGGTGGCGTCCACTGTGGTGGTGGTCACACCTCCATCCATGGCGTCTCCTTCCTGGGAGATACAGCAAGCTCAGCTGAGCGACATGAGCTCACTTGGCTGAGCGGCTGGTTGGAGCAGAGCCCTCCAGCAGCTCTTCCCAACCTCATTTACCGCAATTTCCCCGGCTTGGGGCAGGCAGGAGCATGTGTGGTACTGCTCGGTAGTGGCCATCAACCAGGGCGCAGGTCAGAGGCAAGCTGCAGATGGCAGGAACCAAGCCCTGCCCTAGCATGGTCTCCAGATGGGACATGGAAGAGGAAAAGCAAGAAGCCACGGTGTAGACCCCAGTACTAGACGATGTTTACATGCTCTGGACTTCATGGAGGCCCAGCAACAGGAACAGGCTGCGAACATCCCGTGCCTCCAAGCCCCCCCGGGCTGAGTAGCCCTTCACTGGCTCTCCAGCACCTTTTGGCCTGCACGCCAGCAGCATTTACTCCATCCCAAACACAGGCTGGCTGAGCAAGCCAAGAATTTGTCCCAAGAATTTTTATGATCCCAGGAACATAAACAAGAGCCTAGAGCTCTCGTGAGTGCTGGAGCGTGTGGCGGCCACCTCTCCTGCCATGGCCACCCACCGTCCCCCATCGTGGGCAGCAGGAGGGACCAGCCAGGGCTTGGGTCCCACCCAGCACCAGGACCCTTGAGCAGGACCTTTCCCGCTCCTCTCCCCGCTCTGTCCTTCTCCTGGTTCACAGGCACCCCATCGCCTTCCCCAAGCCCCCCACCGCTCCCTGATCCCACATCCCTTTGGGTGGAAGGGAGGTCTGAGAGCAGCTTGGCTCAGCAAACAGGCTGACAGCACCCCGCTGCCCCTTACCGCTTTCCAAAGCGCTTGGAAGGCAGAGAAGAAAGCATGAAGGAAGCCCTGCAAGGCCGGGGGACAGCAGGAGGGATGAGAGCCTGAACCCCAAGGCCACCAGCAGAGATGGGGACAGAAAGCTGCTGCCAGCTCCGGGAGTCCCCATCAGTATCTCACCCTTACAAACCAGCTTCGAAACTGCTGCCCAGGGCAGACAGAGCCGCACAGACCGGCTGCTAATGAAATAAAACCCAGGCTGAGCTCTGACGTGGCTCCGGGGGACCCCTGGCCAGGGAACGGCTGGTCTCAACCTTCCCAGAGCCCCCGCGGACGAGCTC